GTCCTAATTTTAATCTCTGTTCATTACATGCAATTAATTTATGAATAACATTATTACATAATACAAACGAAAGATGAAGTTTTCCATGATGATATGCATCAATTAATTTGATCTTAATAATTCCCAATAATTTATTTTAGCTTGTACCATGGATTAGCTCAATAGCATGGTACTCAACTGCCATCCCATTATTTGTTGTGCTTATATTTAGTGCTGCTAAAGACGCCTATGATGATATTGTTAGTTATTCAATTTTGATTTCCAATATATTCTTATTATTATTCTAAAAAGAAAAGAAAATGAATTAGTAAGAAATTACTTCCAAGGATAATTTTATTTTTATTATCATTAATTTTAGCAAAGGCATCAAAGCGATAGTCAAGTGAATAACCGAATTTCGTATGTTGTTCGAAATGGGCAATTAATTGCGGAAAAATGGATGAATGTTAAAGTTGGCGATATAATACGTATGGAAAATGATCAGTTTGTTGCGGTAAATAAACTATTGGAATTTATTTGTTTGCTTATTTCAATAATGATATGACTTTAGTAAAATGAATTAAAACCAATTTTAATGAAAAATATTGAATTTGATAATAAAATTAGGATGGTCTCAACCAAACGTATTACAAGAGTTTTCAAAATTTTGACGGTGCAGATGAACAATAAATGTTACTGTTTCACTTTTCCTTTTTGGAAATTATAAATTATAAATATGTTTAAAATTTCTATTTAGGCTGATTTACTCTTGTTATCAACTTCCGAGCCTCATGGCTTATGCTATATTGAGACGTCAGAACTTGATGGTGAAACGAATTTAAAAGTTCGGCAAGCATTACCAGAAACATTTGCCATGGGCGATAAATTACTGCAAATAAGTGAATTTGAAGGTTAATTTTTTTGATTTTAATTTTTAAGATACAATCTACTAAGGGGAATTTTCGTATATGTTATAAAGATGATTTATTATTTCGTATGTATTATTAGGATAACTTATTATTTCGTGTATATATTGTCGAGATAACTTATTTCGTGCAAATATTGTCAGGATAACTTATTATTTGGATGTTAAAATTACTATAAATAAATGTTTCCTCCTTTTAGAACAACTTTTTTTCACAACAATTTCTTTTCAAAATAATCATTATTTCAGGGCAAATTCATTGTGAAATACCAAATAATAAGTTGAATCAGTTTGAGGGAAGGTTACATTATAATGGTGACGTTTTACCGCTTGATAATGGGAAAACTTTACTGAGAGGTTGTGTATTACGGAATACTCGTTGGTGCTATGGAGTAGTAATATTTGCAGGTTATTTGATTTAAAATTGCTTCGTTCATTAAATTAATAATTAATTTCACAATAAAAAAATAATGGATTTTTTTGAATTTTGCAATTTTATAGGAAAAGATACCAAACTGATGATGAATAGCGGGAAAACAAAATGTAAACGAACAAGTTTAGATCGATTTCTTAATATTTTAATTATGGGTGTAAGTTTATCTTGCCTTTGCTTAATATGATAGTAGAAGTTATTTGAGGAAATGTGTGGTTTTTATAAATTTAACGGAATTCTTCCATTTATTTTCAAATTGAAATCGTTATATTTATCAAAATGATTGTATTACCACAATCAATTTGTTAACTTTCAGATAGTCGTATTTTTGATAGCGATGTGTCTTATTTGTACGACATTGTGTGGAATTCGCGAATGGACAATTGAGCGTCATTTTACTATTCATTTAAATTTAGATGGTTCAGTTATTCCAAATCAGAGTGAACAATCATCAGAACAAATTTCCATTTTATCATTTCTCATGTTCTTCTCATACCTTATCTTGCTCAATACTGTTGTACCTATTTCACTTTATGTAAGGTAAATTTCGCTGTTTGTTTAATTTGTTCTAATTTATCTATTTCCATTATATGTTTGGTTATCCAAAAGTTAGCAAAGTTTAAAAGATATTAGTTTAATTTGTTCTTATAATAATACAAAGATTGTTGTGTCTTTATCATTTTATTGATTGTTTGTTGAAGATCAAATCTAATAATAAGTGAAATCTAATTTGGTTAATTTATTATATCTTCCTTATTTTTTTACTCGTTTGAAAGGATGTCTAAATTCGTAAAGCTATTCCATTCTTTGATTTAGAATCATTACAGTGTTGAAATAATACGATTTGTTCATTCGATGTGGATTAATTTTGATGCTGAAATGTATTACGAAAAGGTACTTCAATCTTTCTTAATCAAATCAAAGTATTTTGTACTTTTTGTTATATTTTAAATATTATTAGAATTCCATATATATTTAACATTTCACTTTTTTTTCCTTGCTTTTTTTCCAGGGCGATATTGCTGCACGTGCACGTACCACGACGTTAAACGAAGAATTAGGTCAAGTTCAGTATATATTTAGTGATAAAACAGGAACTTTGACGCAAAATACCATGGTATTTAGGAAGTGTTCAATTAATGGACATAGCTACGGTGATATATATGGTGCTAATGGTGAAGTAATTGACGTAACGGAGGTTTGACTTGTTACAAAATGTATTTTGGTTGTTATTGGCCTGATTTTATTAATCATCTGATAAGGAATGATAACAATTTGAGATGAAATGTTATTGCTCATTTTATTTTAATATATTTGCGTATTGCGTAAGATTTAAATCCAATCTTTTTTCCCGTTATGTGATGATGAATTAAGGGATACAATTAAGGAATTGTATAAATTGAAAGGACCAATCTTTCTTGGTGAACTATGGATTAACATATGTGATATGTAATATAACTAACTTATACTGTGACACGAGCATGCGACGCACATTTAATTCGAATTTATTTCTATAAAATTGGAAATTGCTAAACAGTTTTAAAACAAACCCGCTGCATTAGTATTAGTATGTGTGAATTTTTTGCTATTTGAAGAAGACACCGGCGGTTGATTTCTCGAAGAATCGTTGGTTTGAACCGAATTTCAAGTTCTATGATCAAAGATTACTGAAAGATACAACCAGAGGACTTTACGAGGCAATGAGTTTTCCTCTTCTTTTTTTCCTTCTCTGATTAAATTGAAATTTTGCAAGTCGTGATTTTTTTTTTGAAGCTAACTTCTTTATAATTTACTTGAATTACTTTTTGATAATCAATCAATCCAACATAATTAGAAATATTAAGGTAGCAGAATTTTGGCGACTTTTGGCTCTGTGTCATACTTCCATGCCGGAACGGAAGAACGGTCGCTTGGAATATCAAGCACAAAGTCCGGATGAAGCTGCTCTTACATCTGCCGCACGAAATTTTGGATACGTTTTTAAATCTCGTACTGCTCAAACTATCACGCTGGAAGTAGCCGGCTCCGAAGAGGTCTATCTCAAAATATTCGCTAAATTAATTTCAAAAATTTACTATATACTACTACAAGCTGCCGAATAAATATGCTTGACGGTTTTAAAATTTTCAATTTCAACTAATTTTTTAATTAACATACCTTAAAAGGATTTTCTTTCAAGGTATATGATTTATTGGCAATCCTTGATTTCAATAATATCAGAAAGCGGATGTCAGTAATTGTCCGAAATCCTTCGGGTGAATTAATACTTTATTGCAAAGGAGCAGATACAATTATACTTGATAGGTTCTAAATTTTTAATTTCAGTTAATTTTTCTAATTTTCATAGCATGAACAATTAATTAACAGCATTTACTTAACTTCATATCATAATTGCTGGAAAGTATACTCATATACTGAATTGTTCAGCATTCAGGATATCACATGATACGGCACCGTTACTGAAGAGTGCAACAATTCAACATCTCGATAAATTTGCTGCTGATGGTTTTCGAACATTATGTTTAGCATATAAGAAGATTAGCACTGATGTTTTTGATAAATGGCATGTAAGTTTTATATTTGCAATTCGAATTTTTTATGAAATGAAAAATTCGAATTTTGATTTCGCTGTTAAACCCTGAGGGAATTTTGACGAATAGTTTAAGAAACTTTCCCTGCAAATAAGTATTGATTGTTTTGATTTATGTAAAAGTTCATTTTAATCGTTATTATTATAGGAAAAGCAAAAAGAAGCAGCAGTTGCATTGACGAATCGTCAAGAACAATTAGATAGGGTTTATGATGAACTGGAACAAGAGATGATACTTTTGGGAGCTACAGCAATTGAAGATAAACTTCAGGATGGTGTTCCGGAGACGATAGCAGAACTTGCTCGTGCTAACATCAAAATTTGGATTTTGACGGGTGATAAACAGGTGAGGGAATTTTGGCTACCATTTTTGCATTGATATTTTGGAGGTTTAAAATTAATACATGGTATGTTTATAGTTGTATTTCAGGAGACGGCAATCAATATCGGTTACTCGTGCAATTTGTTAACGGAAAATCTTCGAGAAATCTTTATTATAGATGGTGAGACGGAACGTGAAGTTGAAGTTCAACTGAAGGATGTACGAAGGCGAATCGAACAAACTCTTGGCCCGGTAAATATTACATTTAAACTAATAGCACAACTGCTTCTATTGACCCTTCACTCTTGTCCATTCCCAATCATGTAAACGATGAGACAGTCACAGATGCATGCTGTTTCATAAAATTCTTTTTTTTTTTCTCCATTTTTTCATTTCACTACTCAAAAAAAGAAAAATTAAAAAAGAAAGAGACGAAATACGGCATGGTAAATTAAATCCCGAACAGAAATTTTTCGAGATTGTTCTCAAAATTGGGTTTTACATTGGAATAGAATATAAAAATGAGATTACGGTAGCAGGATCAAAATTCTCATAATCTCATATCTGGTAATCGATTGATGGTGGTGATCCTGGTATTCCAGGGGGAGAAAAAAAAAAATCCTCGAATAAAAATGGTCTTGTTACATTTTGAAGCCGTCGTCTATGAAAACAAATGCCGTTATGAAATATATTCAACAAATAATAACCAAAGTGGAAGAGGCTGAAAAGAGTGAATGTAAATCGGATGGGCGCTTTCACAAAACGGATTATTTGTACACCACGGATGACTTCTGTTCGGTTTGTGAAAATGCGCCATTGGAAGGCGTTCTGTTAAATGCTAAAGAGGTTCGAGTAGGTAAAGAAATATATATATATATATGTATATATATATATATATATATATATATA